CCCCCGCATAGTTTACTTGAAGCCAGAGACATGTCGGTCATCTTTAGGTTTTTGAATGACTGCATTCATGCGAAAATGAAAGCAAAAAGCAAAGAAGGTAAATATGAGTTAGCTGAAAATAACATTCTTTGTGCAACTGTCTAGAATTTCCGTAGCTTAATTCAATATCGCGCATGTTGTTACACTGAGCATGATGCGGTTGCTTACGAGTGGCGACTACCATCAACCCTTTTTCGAAAAAAAAAATGGTATTGAAAGATTAGTATAGCAGACTACATCAATGACATAATCTTCAGCATCAACTTCAAGATTTAGGAGCTAGAATGCAACCACTTAGTTCTTAGATATCACTCCATTATTATTATTATTATCGTTATAAGGGCATCTATATTACATCAAGAAGCATAGTAGAGAAAAAGAGCTTAAGTTTCCAAAGATGTCTCGGAGAATTGCCAAAATGAGACTTTCACAAAAGGGAACGCACTTCGTGAAAAAAGCTCATTGTTGAACTTTGATAACACTGTGAGCTAGTTGTACAGCTTAAGCAACTCTGAGAAAAATTATCTGTATAAGCGGAGTTTAATGTGGCAGCCGAATTTTTAATGAACTGCAAAGGGAAGCAGAAGGATAAATTTGAAATTAACCTGGTGGCGCTGATGTTGGCTGATCAACCGGGCAGAGACCATTCACACAAGATGCTTCGCCGAGAGGACATTGTCTGCACGGTACACCGTTCTCGTAGAGTTTCGACCCTTCCGTCAGTTCACTTTATTGTACTGTTGCTGGCAGATATCACATTTCCAATATATTTTTAAGCTACTCACGTTTTGTATTGACAAATTATGTATATCGCATCATCAGCTCTGAAATAAGCGCAACCAACTGCTGTGGTCAAATCTGATGCCATCTGAATAAAGTTATATCTTGCTTTCATCTATGCTAGCGTAATTCTGTTTGCGTTACAACTATTCCTTCTACCTTAGCGAATGAATTGATTCCAAGGTGGCTGTAGTACATATTTGTAGTCGGAATGGGGTTGACGATCGTAGTGATCTCAGACCACCACAACTCGAGTGCCTAAAACTTTGCTTAGAGTATCAATAATGAGTTTACGAAGAGTTTACGAAGAGTTTGCTTTCGTGGCCACCGACATGATAAAGGCTTATTGATT